CCGAGCGAGCGAGCAGGAGAGAGAGAGGGACAAGGTCTGGGGCGCGGCAGAGCGGAAGGGCATGGATGGGGTGGGGACCCGACGAGAGCAGGAAAAACTCATGGCCCAAGGACTAAGGAGGACTTAGTGGCTGGCAAGGCTGCGAGGCGGGATGTCCAGCAGACCCATGGCTTCCAGGTGGGAGGCACGCTCACCCTCCTCTCCGAAGGGCTCCCCGCAGCTGACGCAGCAGAAATGCTCTGGGTGCCAGTGGGTGCCCAGGGCAGTGACCATCTTCTGTAGGAAATGAAAGTGGACACGCGTATGACCCTCTATCCCTTCTCCGCTCCCCGTCCCACCCTGAACCCCGGTGAGTGGGTTGAAGTATGAGTTAAGGCCAGGGAGACCTAAGGAGGAACTTGGGGTCAAAGAGAGAGGGGAAGAGGCCAAGGGGCAGGGCTAGGGATGGGGGTGTCGGGGGTGGGGTAGGGGTGGGGCTGGAGGGAGGGGACAGGAGTGGATGAAGCCCGTCTCCCGGCCCTTTGGGTGAGAAGTGCCTGTGGCTCAGGCAGGGCTCACATGTCGGATGGGTTGATTGCAGAGGCCGCATCGTGGGGAGAAGCGCTCGAAGTAGCACTCGGGGCAGAAGGGGGCTCCATCCTTTTCGAAAAAGCTGCTGCCTCCCAGGGCGGTGGAACAGCCACTACAAACGAAGTGCTCAGGGTGCCAGGCACGCCCCAGCGCCGTCACCACCTGCGAGTCGGGGTCGAGGCCAGGGTCAGAGTGGCCCTTCGGCCACCATGTCCCCCGCGAGCCAAGTTTACATGGCACTTTTCAAGTCACTCCGGCTGTAGGTGATGGAGATGCAGCCAGCTCCTCCAGCGCAGGGCCTGGGGCCCACAATACTCTAGGAGCCCACGCAAATGTTGTCATTTCTTTTAAAATCAGAAGGGAAAAAACGAGCTACAAGAAAACTGTTTCATAGGTAATATTAACATAGTCATCTTTATACTAACACAGTCATCAAATACAATTTTTACTATTTTTTAATGGCGGAAGAGACCTATGAAGGCAAGCCTGGGTAAGGCCCATGGAAGTCATAATGCCACCTGCTCTGCTCGGGTCGGGAATTCTGGGATGCAAGCAGGGCACTTTATCTGTCAGGAGGATCTACGTCAGTGGTTCTCAACCTTCTGGCCCTTTAAATACAGCTCCTCATGTTGTGACCCAACCATAAAATTATTCTCGTTGCTACTTCCTAACTGTGTTGTTGCTACTATTATGAATCGTAATGTAAATATCTGATCTGCAGGATGGTCTTAGGCGACCCCTGTGAAAAGGTCGTTTGACCGCCAAAGGGGTCGCGACCCACAGGTTGAGAACCGCTGACATAGGAGGCGACAGTAAGTGGTAGCTGGGTTGGAATTCTCACCCTGCCACTTACTTGCTGTGTGAGTCGGAGCTTCATTTTCCTCATTCATAAAATATGCGTAACAATAACACCCAGTTTCCGGAGTTATTGATTTAAAGGGGACAGCACAGAGGCCGGTGCTCAGCGAAGACGGGTCTGTGGGTCTCCGCCTCGCAGAGCTGCACTTACTTGGCCAGCGATGGGTTTGTTGCAGGAGCCACAGAGGCCCTTGGCCTGGGTGGGAATGCCACGGCGGCTGAGGTCGGACTGCAGCAGCCCCAGCATGGTGTCTAGGCTGCCCTTGCTCGCAGGCCCCGGTGGGGGTGGGGAGCCCTCGTTCACGGAGCTTGGCACCGGTGTCTGGGTTGGCCCAGGAGCTGGAAGCTGCAACAGGGAGGATGTGAGTTGAGTCAGCAAGGCAACAGATGTGGGAAGGTCTAGAATGGGTGAGGGAGCCACAAAACCACACTGGCCCACCCTGCTGCCTGACTCACATGGTTCTGGACTCGGAAGTCGGACAGTGAGGCCATCAGTCTGTCCAGCTCCAGGGTGGCCGAGGTGGCCGACGGCTTTGGGAGAACAGGGGCTGGGCTGGGAGGTCTATGAAGAACAACGTGTGTCAGCTCAGAGCCTCCTTGAGCAATGGAGCGCTCCCTCCAGTCACTCAGGCACCCAAGACCAGTCGCCTTTCTCAGACCTGGCAACTGTGCCAAACTCACAGGCTGGGCCTTTTCTTGTCCTCAGGCTGGTCCTCCTGCTCCCCGGCGGGCTCCTTGCTGGATGGGAACTGAGACATTATTTCGTCTGCAGAGAGGAGAGAAGGGCAGTGGACACAGGGCCTGCTCTCCACACCCTCCCACGTAAGGCTGTGTCCTTTTAGCTGCTACTCTGGGAAATCTCTGCCCCTTCATCTCTGCCCTGCCCTGCCCTGCCCTGCCCCAGCCCTCAAGCCCTGTTTCAGTAACCATGGTACCTGTGATGTTGAACTGAGTAGCATTAAGTTCCTGAAGCAACCGGTCTAGCTCACACAGTCCCGTGCCCAGGACACCGCTGGAAGAGGAGAATGGAGGAGCCGCAGGGGCCGCAGGCTTTGGGGACTGAGGCTTGCATACGGTACTGGGGAACAGGGCGGGAGCTTGGGTTCAGGGTGGGGAAACGAAGACTCCTCCCCTGAGTCTCCATTGGCTTCCCCATCCCCCAGTTCTCAGGCCTCTTACCTGTATAGATGGTCCTTGTCCCCAGAGGCTCCAGAAGACTCCCCAGTCCCCATCTACAGAGAGACGGACACATGCGTGGGATGATCGACCAGTAGCTTGCCTCACTGTGGCCCGGACTCCCCCAGCCTTGGCCAGACTGGCCCTAGTGGTTGCCCTGGTCCACAGCATCTGATCTCACCTGTGGCTGGTGGCCATAGGGCAGGGGGGACGCGAGGGGCTCTGGGGGTCGCTCTTTTGGAACCCCTGACCGTGGCATGTGTGAGGTGGTGGTCTCCAGGTCAGAGAGCAAGGCATCTGCAGGGAGGCCGTCAAGGTGAGAAGTTGAGAGGTCAAGGTTAGGGCCGAGACCAGGCCTTAAGATATCAAAGGATAAGGCTTCCAAGTGGGCGGTATTTGAGGACAGAAGCCAGTATTAAGAAGGAAACACAAGGCCAGACCAAGGCAGAGAAGTGGAAGGGTAGTAAGGAATATATTTGACCAGAATATCCCAATGGCTCATCCTGGGAGCCATGCACAAACCCAGCCGTCTGATTTCTTTTTTCCTTAAAATCTTCCCTAATGCAGTCAAAATTGGCTCTTTACTGAAGCCAAAGTTGACTCCACCCCAAATTGCTCAATTGGCTACATGCCTGGCACCCAGCCTGCTGATTGGACGCTCTTTGCCACGCCCACTAATTCCTCCCCGGACCTAGCCCCGCCCACTCAGCGCTGGCTCACCTCCAGGCCCCACTGGGTCCCATCCTCTGCACCTCATTGGTGAATCTGCAGGGACCTGCTTTCTGATTGGCTTATTCTCCACAGTACCAGTGCCCGCTACCCCTACTGAACAGCACCCCCTATTGCAGGGTGCTGGAACCCCTTCTGTCTCACAGTCGGAGGGCACAGCCTTCCAGCCCCAGTTCCGACAGATAGGGAGTACAAAATGCCTCCTCCTTCCACCCGGACACCACTACCACCCCACCCCACAGCTTCAGGAAGCCCGGAGGACCCATGGCAGCCAAGAGAGCCAGAAGGGATGTTCCTACATTTTACTTTTGTCTTTGGGCCAGAAAAATACCCGGCGCGTCCGCAGCTGGGATGGAGGGGCAGGGAGAGGAAGGAGGGAGGGAGCGGCCGGCCCGGGAAAGGCAGGAAGGGAGAGGCAGGAAGGGGGACGTGGAGTCGGAAAGGCGGCGCGGGCTGAGAGCAGAAGCGAGAAGACAGGAGGCAGGATGAGGAGATGCCGGGGAGGGCCGGGGGGCTCCAGCATGGGGAAGCGGGTCCAGAGGGTGATGCAGGGCTGGGCACAAGAGCACC